AATATTTAGTGACAATGCTATTTTGACATTCAGAATGGAGTAACATTTATTTTTTTGTATTGAAACTACTTAAAAAACTAAATATAAATTTTAGCACCGAATTGAGAAAAAATACACCGTACAGTAGAAATGCCCTTATGATCATTATCATCATCATCATGTTATTTTGTATTCACAACCCTCTATAATTAAAGAAATAAGGCAGATGGAGGATGGGAGAGTAGGCCAGATCGTCTCTGGCCGGATTGCCACTACCCTGATGTTCCCATGTTAGGAGTCCATTTGTCCAAACTTCACAGGAGAAAATAAAAGCTGTTTATTTTTCACAGTTAAGGTACTAATTGAAATATAATGATGTAGGTACTAATAGAAATACAATGATTGATTAGATTTCAATTAGTAGGTACCTTAAAATTAAATATGAAAAATAAACAGTTTTTATTTCCTTCCTCCTGTAAAGTTTGCACAAATGGCCATAAGCAGTTTGAAAATTAGAGTGACGACATGTTTAGCAAGCAGCAGCTACTTCGCCCGGGTAAAAAAGTATTGCTTGTAGTACAAGTTATGAGCTGTTGGCTTAATCTAAAATAAATGGCGGAACAAAATTTAAACGACACAAATTGCGACATTGCGTGAGTAAATGTTACTTAATAGTGTTATTACTATAAAGTGTGTTAAAACAAACATACTGTATAAATAAACCTGAATCGTAAGTACACCCTTAGATTACAAGTACATATAGATGAGGTTTTATTTCTGCGTGTGTGTGTATGTATGCGATTGTCTACTTTTGAATAGGTAAATACCTTTTATATTTTATTTAATGAGTTGATATGAGTTTAACAGTTATTGAATTTTTAAGATATTCTCTGTTTGGGTAAAGTGCTAACAAACTTTTATTTTCTTTTAGTTTTGAGACGTGCCTTATTTAATTGAACAAATTGATATAAATCATTAAATTATAGAGGTACGGGCCCATGTAGGATAATTGAAGCCTACCGAATACAGTGTCTATAGTTTTAACTGGAGTTCTATGAAACAATCTAGCAAAAACTAACAATAATATTGGCAGATGACGCCGCAGTAATTAGCCAGTTTAAAATGAAAACGATAAGAGATACTTTAGTACTTTTGCTGTTCAACAGAAACTATTATCATCTAAAAAAGTGAGGTCACCCTTATCACGAATGTATAAAACTTTCGGACTTAGAGTTTGAGGTACAGTTGTCTTTCGTCGTCAACACGATGAGGACTGTCTTAGTTTTGGCGGCCCTTGTGGCCCTTTCTCTGGCCGGCACCGTCCCTAAGAAATTCGTGAAGACAAAACCTGGTAAGTTAAAGTACACTCTCTATCACAGCAATTAATATTAGTGGGTTATTTCTTCCCATTCCCTGAAAAGGTTCAACTGTCCTTGAAGACAATAGAGTCTTGATCTTCAGTCGTTAATGAGTTTGATGATGTGTTGTTAATTCTTTAAGATCACTTTTACTTTCCCCTGGGACGAGCTAGACCTTCACTGGTTGGGCTTTTATTGCCTGTCAAGATGTAGGTCCTAGACACATGGGAATTGATGCCATGGGAACGGGAATTGGAAATAGTTCCATTCTGAGTCGGTGAAGACTTATGTAAAGTCTTACTTCAAGTACTTACATAAGACCCAAACAACCTATGGACCCTGAACACTTTGTGGTACTATTGTTGTTTCATAGTACATATGTATAAGTTCGGTTTTCTTTAAATAACCGTTTGCTACCAATACACTTAAAATGTTATCTACTTAGTGAAAATTAACTAACGTCAAACATTTCCTTTACAGTGGATAAGGTGACTGTGGAACGCCAGTACAAAATCTTGGAGCTCTTCGAAGCCATCAAGCAAGTCAACCCTCACGCCGAATACTACAAAGTTGGCAAGGAATACGACATTCAAGCCCACGCTGCCAATTATGTAAGTAATATAAAATTACCTACTATCCGTAATATCATGCCTGTCTGTAATTTGCCAAAAAAAAAAAACTAAGCCTAGTCCCTACGAGTACATTAAACATTCAAACCATAAATAAAAATAACCGCAAAATAGAATTAAAACTCGATTTTCGAGATTTTTTCTAATCTGCTGTATTTCATTACATTACAGGAAAACCAAGCGGTTGAAACATTCTACCACTACTACAACAATGGTTACTACAAGAATCAATTTAGCTTCACCATCTTCAACGAGGAGATGAAGGAAGAAGCTAAGGCTCTCTATGATCTCTTCTTCTACGCTAAGGACTTCGAAACCTTCTACAACACAGCCGCTTGGGCTAGATTCCACGTGAACAAGAGCTTGTTCGCTTACACCTTCTACATTGCTGTCATTCAGCGAATTGACGCTGCTGGATTAGTTGTGCCTCCTTTCTACGAAGTTTGGCCCCAGTTCTTCGCCAACACCGATGTATTCGAGAAAATGTACTACACGAAGGCCAAAGGATTACCCTATGAGGAGTACCCCGAATACGGCATGTATGTGGAAGGTGACAACTACGTTGTTTATGCTAACTACTCAGACTACACTTACGGATACGGCAATGACGAATTCAAACTGTCGTACTTTACTGAGGACATTGGCTGGAACACATACTACAACTACTTCCACTCCGTCTTCCCCTTCTGGCAGAAGAGCGACAACATCGCTATGGGACCTTTAAAGGAAAGGCGCGGTGAAATATACTATTCCTTCTACCAGCAGCTGTTGGCCCGTTACTACCTGGAGAGACTTTCAAATGGTATGGGTAAAATCCCAACATTCTCATGGTACCAGCCCTTCAAGTACGGATACTACCCTCATATGGGCTACTACTACTACCCATTCGTCCAAAGGAGCGACCAGTACATTATGCAGACTGAGCAGAACCTGGATGACTTGAGATTCGTCCGCAACTACGAAAGCATGTTCTTGACTTTCCTTGAAAAGGGCAAGTTCGAAGCTGTAAGTAGCTAAGATATTACTTAATTTTTTTTTAGTCATCAAGCTTGAGTGATATTTATGAAGTTATTTTTACATTTCCAGTACAAGTACCAAGTCGACTTCCGTAACTCCAAGTCCATCAACTTCGTCGGAAACTTCTGGCAGACCAACGCCGACCTCTACGAGAAGATCCCCCACAGCAACTACTACCGCTCATACGAACAGGCGGCTCGCCGCATCTTGGGTGGATCGTCATGGTCATACAACAAGTGAGTTCAATATTATGTATTTTGAAGTTTAGTTCAGGCATCTGTTTAGTTGTAATAGACGCTATTTTGCTAGGCGCTAAAAATGTAGTCTGATGCCTGTCGACTATACTAACAATCATTATATACTAAAACCATGCTAACCACTATGGTGTTTGACACTACTGTTGCGATATTAGATATCTTATTCCAATAGTTAACTGGTAGAAAATGCTCTATGGCACTAAGTTAGCATCATCTACAAAAATTAAAGTGACAGTGAAGACTAGGACATGCATAGACTATATACATGTTCTAGCATAGACATGCACTAGAGAATCGTCTTTTGAAGGTGAACATACCCAGATTCAAAATAGACCAGGAATCGAACCTGAAACTTTATTTAATTTTACTTTTTTTTACTTTACAGTACCGTATTCAAGCCTTCGGCCCTGGACTTCTACCAGACGTCGCTGCGTGACCCAGCTTTCTACCAAATCTACAACAAGATCTTCAGCTTCATTTACAAGTACAAGCAGTATGTGCCCGCCTACACTCAGGACAATCTTCATTACGTTGGCGTTAAAGTCAAGGATGTCCAAGTTAGCAAGCTGACCACCTTCTTCGACTACTTCAAATTCAACGCATCCAACGCCGTCTACTATTCCGACGCTGAATTCACCGCTCCTAAGAAATCATTCTTGGTTGCTCAGCCACGTCTGAATCACGAACCCTTCACCTTCAAGATCACCGTTAAGTCTGACGTTGAAGAAGAAGCTACTTTCAAGATCTTCGTTGGACCTAAATACGATGAGAAGGGCTACCCTATCAACCTGAAAGACAACTGGTACAACTTTGTTGAATTAGACTGGTTCAAATACAAGCTTACAAAGGGCGAGACCGTTGTTGAGCGTAGCTCTGACGACTTCTTCCACTTCAAGGAAGATTCTTGCTCGATTCAGCAAATCTACAACCACTTGGCTAAGGGTGAGCTGCCATACGACATGATGGAGAAGTATGACGATCTCCCCAAGAGGCTTATGCTGCCTAAGGGTACAAAGTCTGGTTTCCCTCTGCAGTTCTTCGTCTTTATTTACAAGAGCGAGGCCCTTCCTAAGGAATGGGAGCCTATTAAGGACTACATGCTGGATGACAAGCCTTTTGGTTATCCATTCGACCGTCCCGTACCCTGGTATTTCGTGCAGCCTAACATGTACTTCAAGGATGTTGAGGTCTACCATGCCAACGAACAATACCCGTGGTACAACCATGTAGCTTACAAAAACTGAACTCGATAATTTTATAATTAAGTGATGCCAAAACTACAAACTATTAAATAAGTTACTTAAAAATATTCATTTGCAAGTTTAATTTACCTGACCCTAAATCTATTAATATGTTAGTTAATAGTCGTAGTAGGTATAAATAAAAATAGGTAACTATTATTATTTCATTCACAAGTACCTAAATATTCAATTAGGTAGCAAGTTGTAGCACTTAACTGCAGCACTTAGCTATTGGATTGGTTAACAATTTACTGTATCTCCAAAGTCCATATCGATGCAATCCCTACTGGTTTTATGAACACATTATACTTTTAAAGAGTGCAGCAAGGTTAACATACGTAGGTGGTGCCATTAGAAAATAATACCTTTGGTCAACAGTCAACACAAATGGTGAAGTGTATTACAGTAGACATTTAATACTCGTAAAATCCAGTAATCCATACAACTTAATATTTAATCAAATGGGCATGAAAACAAATAACAACTAAAATTTAAATAAAAACAATAACACACAATAGGTAGGTATTTAGTGTACCTATTTCTTAACATCATTTTATTTTTTCTTAAGCCAATTTGAAAACTAAACTGAAAGTGGAAACTTGGCAATCTTGCAAACTAAAAAACATTTCATAGTGAAATACTGTTGAGAATGTTGAGATCACTAAAACAGTTTATGTTTCCTTACAGTCACATTTACTTTACAAGACTGCCAAATCCTGTAGGCAAAGATTTTTCATTATCTAAGTTCAACTAGATGTTAAAATGTTCCTAAATTATAAAAATTTACAAATATATTTGAAATCAATATAAATGAGGCGAAAAGTAGCCATTAAAGTCAACATCTAAAGTCTTCATGTGATAAACAGTAACATTGAAAAATCTATAATTAGGTGCAGAGTCACTGTATGATTCAGCGTGTTTATGGAAAGGAAATCCTAATGGCTTACTATCGATCTCACTAGAGAATTGGTGATAAAGTACAGGAGTTATAGTTGCATCTTTTTCAGTCAAATTGTCGTCCTCAGTTATCATTACAAATACAGTCAAATTAAGACCAACCTCTGATCCTTTCGGTAGCACTAAGTTTCTGGGGAATTTATAAATGTTGTAACCATTCTCGTTATCATTTTCAAAATCATTTGCACTATAGTAGACATATCGCTCAGATGACTCAGGGTCCCAGATAATGTTGTTGATTCCTTCTGTCAAAGTGTAACGATAACTATCAAGTTCGAAAAATCTAGAATGTGAATCCCAGCAGCTGTATTTACAATGAGGTCCTAAGAACAATCTTATAATTACGTCTTTAGTAGCTGTTGATACTACTGTAAAATTAAAATTGAAAGGCAAATGGTTTAATTTTCTCTGCCGTGAATAAATGTTATTGTTAGAGATTCCATTATGGTTAGATGTGTCTCCCTGTAGAGCTTTGTTTAAGTTTATTAAATTATAGTCAAAAATTGTAACCAACTTGGAGGATTCAAATTGAAGAATTTCAAACTCATTAGTTTCGTACTTAGAAATATCAAGAGGTTCTGAGTTATTTGTGAATTCTGAGAAATAATCAAGTCCTCTTTCAATCAAGGACCAATAAACTGGATCTCTTAGCGTTGTTTGAGGGTGGTGAAGTAATGATGGAGTAGGGTTGTATCTGTAAAAAATAAAAAAGATGTACCATATTTATAATTTACCTGTGAAAAATTGGTTAAAGTAGAATTTGATAACTCACCTGTATAATGGGTATCCGTTGTTTCCATAGCCAAATATGGATCGCACAATTTTAGCTGACTTGACTCCATCCAAATTAGCTCTTATTAGTTTTGTCATTAAGCCTATGTAATTGTCACTGGACATTTTTATGAACGTCCCATTCTGCTGAAACAAATAAATCAGTTGAATAGAAATAAAAAGGTATTTAAATAAAGAAAGGAACTCTCAAGTTGTTGTGTTGATGTAAAAATTACAATCCCATAGGAAAATAATGATAAGATCAAAGGTAACGTACCAAAAATACAAGTCCTCTGTAAATACATTCTTTTATAGCAATATCAATGGATTTCAAATAGGTAATGTTTTCTTGCATATCACCAAGTATAGATGACCTCGTTGGAAAGGCTAGACCATTTTCGTAATATAAATATGGATTGTATTCTGGTTCACAGGTTTGTTTTGACGACTTTACGAATGCAGTTCCAAGGTGTTCTTTTTCCAAGCGGTATCTCGCCAATAGTTGTTGATGAATGTAGTAAAAATGCTCAGGGTGCTTCGGATTTATCTCATCTAGCTCTTCATTTGGCATCCAATATGGGTGACGAAGGTGAACTCCGTAATAATAGCTATTTAGAGTGGCATCATCTTTGAAATAGCTAATTTTTTCGTCACAGCCGTTCAGTGGAATGTTCCATCCAGAATAATTGCTGTTGATAATAATCCTCTTATCAATTCTGAATACTTGGTTTTTCAAGTTACTGTCACTAAATTGGCCATTATTATTTTTGATAAACATCGCTTTCATGATAGTTTCACCGTTGACGAAGTAGTTTGGTTTGAATATGAAAGGAGGCAGTAAAGTTTCTTCCGATCCACGACTGATGCTATACAACGATGTCAGGCGTTTTGCGTAGTCATACATATCGCTGTTTATATTTGCATTGGCCCATTTCTTTATTTTTTCATAGTCCACTCTATTGTATATTCTAGTATCACGAAGAAGACGAAACAAAGCGATTGCAGCATTTCTCATGTCATCATCGTAGATGTTGAATGTGAGTCCTTTTTCAGTCACACCTTTTTCTACGTAATCGTTGAATGTTATAAAGTGTTCGTTGTCCTGAAATTCAATAAAATCGTTATGATAATTTTCAACAATTACGACAGTAAAGAGTAATTTAAATAAAAAAGCTCAAAATTTTACCTTATTATCTATGTTTGGTATATGGGAGTCTGTGTTTTCATTTATGATTTGCGGCGAATATCCTGAAGGAATGATTTGTTTGAGCAATAAATCTGGAGAAAGGTCTGGAATAATAAATATTTATGCTGTGAATATTATAAAAATGTTGGTATGTACAATTTCAAATTATTCTCCAGACTACACTAGTTTTAATAATTGTACAAGTAGCAAGAATGTTTTCTTATGAACCGAATGAATTTAATAAAACTATAGCAGATAATTTATACTTTTCGTTTTTTTACTTAGATATTTTAACGCCATAAGCGCCTGATGTAGATAATCTATATTATTGCAAAATGTTACACCACACTCAAGCCAAACTACACCTTCATTGACATAAAAATACAAACGTACCTCCTTCATGAACAATCGCTCGAAATTCGTCCGTGGGGACCGCCAAAACAGTCCCCAAGTACAATAAACAAATCCACATTCTGTTTTGCAACAACACACTGACCGAGCTGGTCAACTAACAACAATGATTAGCAAACGTGGCTTATATCTGGATGAAACGTAGCTCTGTTTCTCCTTATCCAATTGAGATCCTGGTCCAATCGTTTAGAATGGGGATAACTTTGGATATTCGCATACAAAAGTACACTAATAATGAAAAATTTGCATATTGAATTATATAAAATAAAAACTAATGTTTATAGAAGAAGCTACCTTTCTAGAAAATGATATCGAAATTATATTAAATACAAATAAAGGTAACGAAACATAGATGACAGTAACTGCTGAGCTTTTCAATGCTACTGTAGAGGCTACAGTAAACATAGAAATTAATTCCTTCAAGAATATTCAACCAGTAACAAACGATTAGGAATTTTGAGCATAATAGTACCATATAATCTCAGGAAACAAAATGCAATTGGTCAATTTTCCAATTGCGCGCGGTACTAATTTTGGTTGGGATGAGCGGCGCTACGAATACTCGTACTTAGTACAGCTAAGAGACAATAAACATTCTCTGCATGAACAAAATAGATGATTCGCTTAATCCGGTCTTGTTAGTGTCTCTGTCATCCACATTAACTGCCTAGTAACTGATGACTTTAGCTTTAGAAAGCTGTGGTTTGTAGGCATATTTTGTAATGAATTTGAAGATAAGTTTTCAGGTAAGTTCTCCAAATTCAGAGTATTAGTCTTTGTTCGTGCTGACTCTGACATTGTATATGTGCTACAATCAAAGAAAAAATGTACATTTGATTAAACACAAAAACCTTTATTAGACACAGTGAGTTTGTACTCAACAGTTGCAGCAAAATATGAAAATAGGTTGGTCAACATTGCACCAACAGGCCCGCAATTATCGTGAGATGTTCTCAAAGAGCATGATATGTCAAGTCACTCTGGTGTTCCGCGGATACCCTTAATTGTTGGCATTGCGCATAATTTTTCGAGGGGACACCGACTTCAATTTTGAGTGTTTTATAGTAACTATTATGTAACCACGTTTGTTGGCTAGCTAGTGTACATGATTCCTTAACAAACTTACGTAACTATGCGGTTGCGGTGCACTGGGGTCTAGATTGTCGTATCCGTCTCGAAGCGTAAACTAATCATGCAGATACGAGAATAGACTTCGCAATTGAAAAAAATTGCTTCAGATTTGTTCTTGATTGTCTTTTCCTTAAAATTTTCCTCTGGCATGCACGTGTGAGGGACCCATGTATATTTATACAATAGTGCGGTCATTAGCTTCGAAAATGTCTTGATTTGGACAGTGGCAAGTGTTAACACCTGGTGCAGGTATTTCACAAAAAGAGGTATGTTTATGCCTGCTATCTATCTGATAGTAGATATCTATAGAAGTTTTGTTTAGTTTTCGAACTGTGTATGTTTTTACTCTCCGTGAAATTATGGTGTTCCACAAAATAAGAGATTATGATGTTGAATGAAGTGTCTCCCACAAAATCAAGCATAGTGTAAAACAAGAGAATCCCATGTTATAATACAAAAGGTACGCTCCTATTAAGTCATAGAAATAAAAAGCTATGTTATAAAATATTGCATTTAATGTAGAGTATAGTAAATTAATAAGTACTTTTATGGTTTTTTTAAGTGCAATGCGTTATAAATATTAGCATAAAATTGCGTACAAAAGAATCCGTTAAGTGTGAATTATTTGGCTAATAATTCATTGAAACGAACTCAAAAAGACCCTGGCCTCCTCAGGCTTATAACGAGATTATTTTAACAAGTCCCTATCTATAAGATAGATAACAATAGTAATAAAATTTCATTTTACAACCATGCTAATACCGCATTCAATTGTTTGTACTAATACTGAAGTCATAAAACTCCTTCAAAAGGTATACAATACAAAAATTAAATAATCTCTATCATAATACTAAAGTAGTATCGACAATGTGTTTAGTCTCCAGTCATCATCTCCATGAATTCTGAAAGGAAAGAAAAAATGTGGTCACAATATGGAAAATATGCATACAAAATTGAAACCATGTTCATTAATTGTTTTAGATAAATTATTTTTCTTGAAAAACACGCTTAATGCAATTTATTTCAATTGATTGATCAAACTAATCGAAACACTTTCAGTTTCAAATGCGTTCGGTAATAAAGCAATATACAAATTGTTATTGAAGAAAAATAATTGAATTTAGTTGAACTAGATTAGGTATGAACTAAGAAGACGCATTTTTAAAAATCTAACTCGCTCTATCATTCGTTGGGTTTGATTGGAGGCCAAACTGTAGATCCTGGCTACACAGGAAGTTGTGGAAACGAAAGCTTAAGCCCGTATTCACAAACATTACTATGAGGTCTCACAGTGCGCGTGGACGCACAGGGTGACACACGAACCAATCACAGAGCTCTTCTATTCAACTCTGTGCGTTCGATTTGCTGCTTCACTTATGCAAGCATCGTTTGTGAATACGGGCGTTAGTCCCGCAAGCGATCACGATCCGTGCAAGGGATGAAACCTCTGTTTTTTGTGCCAATGTCAAGTGGAAAGTCTTCTTTATTTTTATGGTCAAAGTATAAAATCAAATTACCATCGAAGTCGACGGTGCCGGAGCCGTCAGTGTCAATCTCAGCGATGATGCCGTCGAGGTCGGCGTTGCTGAGCTTGTCGTCCAGCGCGGCCAGGATCTCTTTGAGGGTGGAAGTGGTGATGTAGCCGTTACCTTCACGGTCGTATAACCTGGAATTGGAGAGAGACATGATGTTGAAAGAATGTTGGAAATACATCTGTCACATTTTAGAATAATAATCTCATCTCATTCGTAATGTGGGGTTACTTTCATTTTAATAACAATATTAAATATTTTGGTATCTACACTAAATATTGTATTAATATTAATTATTTATATTAATTGAGAAGGTTTTACTTTCAGCACAGTTTTGCCATGACACAATAAGATAATCATGAAAGTTCAAAACAATACCAATATTATTAAAATGTATTATACTTTTTGTATTCGTCAATGATTATGGTCTCATTTTATTTAAACCTCTATTCTTATACCACATCTTGGGACTGGTTCACTTTTATTTGTCAATTCAGTTAGACCTATTCAATGTCTTGTTTTTGTTGGTAATTGATGTGTTATTAATTCATTACCAACCTGAAAGCTTCTTTCAGTTCCTGTTGCATTGCCTCAGCGTCCTCTTCTTCCAAGAAGTGGGAGGCGATGTTGCAGAATCCGTCAAAGTTGATTTTGCCGGAATCTAGAATTAAGGAAAAAGTCATAGTATTAAACATCTGGAATATTAAGTAAAACAAAATCCAATTCCAATCAACTGGTAAATAAACTGCCAATGCCAGTGCAAAAGCACGTGTCAGTAATATCTATCAACATTTTCATGAAACGTTTCATGAATAGCCTTTACTCGAATAAAAGCACATCACAACCTCGCGCGTTGAAACTGTATAATCGCTGTAAACCTTGGCATTCCCTTATGCGATCGTTCCTTCTTTCAACGGTTTCTTCACAAATAGCTAAATCAAGGCAACTGACGCGACTCAAACACCGAGGGGAGACACGGTACGGAAATAACTTCATAAGCGCTTAGTGTGTCGCGAGAAAATATTTCAGAATATCCAGAAGTGTTTTGACGTGGCACGTGTATTTCACACTTTTATCGCCAATTCTCTTCAGTTTTATGTGTCGCGATGATCGATATACACTGAGCTGCGGGTACGAGCTTTTCTTGTTTTACGAGTGTTTAAACATTCAACGGAAAGGTCACATTATAAACAAGACGCATCTTCCCATCATCTTTAAAATATAGCACTTGACATACATCATACAGCCACTTCAAGAGTTTCTAGATTGACAGGCTTCAAAACGTTCAATGAAGATGCAACACTGTGATTTGCATCGGCACCGTAATGGAACCAGTTAGCCGTTATTGATGTTGCCTAGCCGTTTCATGTCTGAATATGATTGAGGATCCACATTCCTGCAGTTTTATACGAGCGGCATATTTAGCCTGATGAATTAGAGAAACGTCATTTTTTTTAAATTATTTTATGAATGCCGTTCTTTGAAGTGAATGCTTTGCGTTTGCATTTTGGAATCTCGGATTTCTATATTTGACACGCCAAAAAGCATGCATTACGCGTAAATGATTGTAATAATTAAAAATAGATGAAAAAGGAATCAGTCAGTACAAATCAATGACGCAAAATTTATTTAGGAAAAATTCGTATGAATTTCAATGAACTCTCTTTTTTTAGTTTCTTTTGATTAAAGCACTTTATAATTGTTAAGGTTAGTTTAATATTTTCTATTACTATTTATATCAATAAAGCCTATAATAAGAGAATGTTGTCTTACTTTCTGGGTCATTTTCATCGATTAGGGCCTGGAGTTCTGAGTCATCGAACAGCTGTCCCATGGTGTTGAGGATCGTGGAGATCTTCAATACGTCGATGTAGCCCGACTTGGTGGTGTCGAACATCTGGAAGGCTTTGCGGAGCATCGCCATCTTCTGATCGTCATCTGTGTCCTATGAACATGGGATGATGGTCAGTAATTGCCTTTTGAATTATTTTTCTAGGTATGGTATCCCAAATATCCTAGAGAGACGTGAATTATCATCTTAGCCACAAATAAAAAACTTAATTAAAGTGTTTCATTTTAAAGTTATTATAGTAAATTAATTATTAAACTGTAAGACACATTTTTACAGCACAAAAAGACTGGCACATTTCAATCTTTTCAAAATAAATTACTGGAGAAATAAAATTGAAAGAAACAAGCATTAAAATCCTTCAGATGAAAAAATCCTCATGAAGAGCTATTGTGTAGTCCTCAAATTTTACATCCATTTTCCGTCAACAATTTCACTTCACTTCACTTAAACTTAATCACTTAACACTGTTCCTCACCATTTTGGTTGTGTAGGGGTGGCAGTTGTAACAAGAACTGAACCTGAGTGCGAGTGCTGTTACACTGGATTTTGCGTTGGTTTGGCACCCTTATTTATAGAGCTTCCCGACGAAACGTGGGATTACAAAAATAAGTGAAAACAATCTCTCTCCATTCCGCCTGTGAGGTGACGACGTTTTGTCATCAGGACCTGTGTAGAACTTTTGCCAGAACTTGCCGTATTATTTACAGCATGCGTCGATAGATTTACTAAGTAATTGTTTGGGTGATCAACACCATGTTAATTTGGTCTAATATTGGGTAAATTAACGCGACATAGTAAGCACGTGGTATGCAAAGAAATAAATAAATAATATTTATTTGCTTTTGTAACCAACTAGTAAAAAAAGTTTTGTTTTGAAAAAGAAGTCACACTCTGTATCTTAATTTTTCAGTGTTTTTGTTTGTCTATTTGGTAAAAAATAAGACACAGTATCTGCAAAAGATGCATAATCTGCTAAACTCTTAATAGCTGAGCTATATTATTATTTATAAACTCGAGTTGGTCTTTATCTTGGATCTTAATTTGATCTAATTAACCGTAGACTATCCGGCGCCGAGGTGTCTTTCTTTTGCTACGATTAATATCGTTCACTAACCTCTTCGTCTAATTATAGCCACATTATACCGAGTATTAAGTAATTATGAGTTTTCAGTACGTAAAATATAGCTTTAGCAAAAGAATCATTCAAGAATTTTGTTAAATATTTTACAAATAATTTAAGAGAAAGTAAAGTATACTACGCTTATGTAACTACAGTCGAAGAAAGACCGAAGTGAAATAATCGTGCTAAATATTTGGCTGATAAGATGCAATGGTAATTACTAGTGCATCGCTACGTGGAGGTAGTTTATTTTGGGGTTCCTTAATGCTTTTTTGTTTTAATTATGAATACAAAAGTCATGATAACTAATTACCTATTTAAAATATTATATTTGCGTATCACGGTACCTAATTAAAAAAAAACATGGCTATGTCCTTAGACTATGTCGTTATTAATGTAATTTTACTCATCGTAGTGACAGAAAAAAGTTGTATTCCCTCAAATATGATTTTAGTTAGAAATATAATTTGTAGTAGAATGCCCGCCTTATCTGTCTCATTCAAACATCAATGCTTTAGATATTTTTAAAACCAGAAGCATTTTCGTATTACATCAATTTTGAGCCCTATTTTCACCACGTGGAATAGTTGGTATATAGATCAGTAGCACCAGGAAACCTCCATCGCCTGCTAACACGTGTAGAGTAGATACAGACTTGGCGATAATAGTTAATGTAAATACAAATAACATAAGGTATTTAGCATTGAATAAACATCAAATCAGCCAAATCGGAACCAATGACATGAAACGGAACATCTCTGAAACGTCCAATGTTATACTCTCCAGAAGCGCACGCGCGTTTAAGGCTCCTTGATTAAGAGCAGGAAATTCCTTTGAAGCGGCCGATTCACAACAATCCAGTGAAAATATTACGCGTGAGCACGTCACGGGCAGGGGTTGGCAGCATTTGGCTGCTCTGTGATTGTAAAATACTAATTTGTTCCTGATCTACTGCTGAATTATGTTAGAGTTTATCTTCTAGGTTTCATCTTTGTTCAAAGTAAAAAAGGTAATTAAGAAAAATAGGCAAACATTTATCATATTGTACACTTTTTTAAATATATTGAAAAAATTTAAGGTTCATACCAAAAGCATTATTCATGCAAATTGGCTTACAATTCGTCATAATAATAACGATACCTTTAGTGATGATGCTGACGATAGTGGCCTAGTAGGAATAGTAATAAAATAACTTATAGTCTAAATAATGTAATATTGAAAATGAACGGAATTCGTTAATTCGCTCTAAAATCCGTAACTCAACACTAATCTTAACATCAAAGCGAAACAACGACGTAAATAACAAAGTGTCTTAATAGGACAGACGTTAAGTTTCCGTCTAAACAGCATTAGTGGATCGCGAAACGCAAACGCGTCATCGATTGGCGACCACTGGCGCGTGAAACGGGTTATACGGCGCCCGCGCAGATATAGAATGTCGGTGATCGACTATAAATTTTTGTGTTCTCAACGAATGCCACAATGAGTGAAACGTCCGAACTGAGATTCTGACGATGTGTTGTCGAGCGGACGATCCGGAAATTGGGTCATATGTTAATTTAATTACGTAGTGATCCATTTGCAGTTTCTGCAGGTGGATTTTTGCTCGTAATATTGTAATTTTCAGTTTTGCTTTTCTCATTATTTTCCCGAAACTATGGAAGAGTTAATGTTAATAAAGTTTCGCTAGAACGCTTTTTAAAGCTACAAAAATAAATTTTCGTCCGTAGATATTTGTAACACTTGAATCTTGAGTATTAAATTTGATTCTTACTACAAGTATCTAGATAATTAATTTAACACTCATTACAATTTACTCTCGTTATGGTTTATAGATGACATATTGGCTCGTTATGTCATCTATCAAACATGCATTATGGCTGTGACATACAGGATAGAAGAAGAAGTAGACTCATTTCTATTATTCAGAAAAACTAGATGAATCACCACTACAGCTAGTTTTAAAGCAAGATCGTGAAAATGGGTCTTAAATAGCTGTATTTTCAAATAAATGTCACCTTTACAATAACAATTGCCTTGGTCTCTATGAAGAAAGCAGCAATTTACGACATGGGTGGTGTTAGTGGTTATGGTCACTCTTAATGACCAATAGTTAATAACGTGTACTAGGCTATAGTTTCTACACGTATTAAGCACGTGGTGTGAGTCATGGTCATACTCACAATTTATTTCTAACATGATATACGGTTCATTTGTTTTCAATAAAAACATCATAAAATGTAGTACAAGTAGAGTAACGTCATGGTATCTTGTATGTTTCCTCTACCGAAGTTTAGTGTAGGAAGCGTCCGTCAGAAACCTGCCTCGCTTTACGCGCAACTCGGAAACTGGCGGAGTCATCTAGTCGATGCTTTATTAGCATCTCAAAATACAAATTCCAGCGGTTTCAACTCCAATCGCTCGGAGCTGATTAAATTTATTCGTCGAACGGTGACCAGCGGGATTTACAGCGACTCGGAATTCCTTGATCAAAATAATTGGCCGCAACAGCCAAAAGCAATGTTTGGATAGTTCGCAATACGGTACCCAACAAACTGTGAATCATCGATGTCAATGAAGTAGAAATATAACTTCATTTTGGCACTGAACCGGCCGTTTTCTCTGCAGAATTCGCTAGTGATATCTGGACGCCAAATGGTAATGAATCTTTAAATAGGACATTATTTATTAATGTCTTTAACGCGTAAATGCAATAACTCGTGAAGATCCTATTTACGTTATTGCCTTACATTTTATTGACACTAATTGTGCGAGCGATCCACGTGCTGCAATTTCTGTTGTGATAATTTGCATGTTTAAGTGCTGCAGGAATTTTAATGAATGAAAAATTGGATCGGTACTTTACATTTAGAATTTTATCAGCACAGATTTTTAAATTCCTAAATCTTCAATGGAAGTCTAAGCCGAAATTACTGTTGGAGTTAAAAAGGCATAACGCGTTTTTTTATAAACAAATTGTTGTCTGATAGGTATCTTTAAAACTTAAAAGTGAAGAATGGTATGCTAATGAAACATCTGAACTGTCCGACTTTACGACAACTCGTAAAGTTTTATTTACACAAACACACACAACTGACAGCACATGCGGAAAACGATATGTTAGGAATTTACGAATCCAATGAAACAGTTATGTTACTATTGATTATAAAATGTTAGTTGTGTTTCATTTTTTTTGCGCCTATTCCAATAAATATATGGAAATCACTTGTCATTTAAGATTGTTTGGAAAAACCTTGTAATCGACTATAAAAATATTTCTATTTGTATTCTAGCCGTTGTCACAGTGGTGACCGATGGTTTTTAAATTTTCTGAGATGAAAATAGGGAAAGCGTAGCGTTTGTTGTAAAACATTTGGAACTTGTCCAAAAATAATGATAGAAACCGCTTGAAAGAGCATCAATGTGCATTGGTTTTTGTGGCTTCATCCACAGGCTTTGTTTTATAGTTGTTTGAAATGAAATATGACACTAATTTCGACGGAAAATGTAGTTGAATAGGTTAACTAAACTTGTAAGACAGGACGGTAAATGCCAAGTGTTTTTAGTTACAAATATAACTTTTCCCTTCTTTTGGAGAGATTATTATGACGTCATTCTTTCACGAGTTTCCTTCAATCTTAGTGAAGCAGATGCAGATTAGGTGCCATTTCTACATAATTATACTCGTTTAATAATCTTTAATAATCTTTGATTGTCAAATGAAAAAGTAATCACCAGACTCATTATTCTTTCTTCTAATTTTCATATCGTTGGAAATTGCATAAAGTCAAGCCAATCCATGATGTTCTATTTTCAAGTGTGTAGTAAGGATTTTGTTTCTTTTTCTCAGGATGACGGATAGAGATCTTATAACTATGAAAATAACAAAATAAGTGTACACAATTGTAAAATTAATTTATTTGCCTTTGTTATGTTGTTATTAACAATAACAACATAACAAAGGCTAAAAATCTAAAACTATATCATACAATTGGTAATTCCTTATTCGTAAACTCGCGAATCTTTGTCATCATAATTTATGGGGTTAAATATGAAATCGTACACACTTACACGCTTCTTGGTTCTCTCTGTAGTTACCGCAGGTGCATAAGGATTTAAATTTTCTCCGTATTTTTCGTATGGCATCTTTGATATATCTTTATTTTTATTATCCTTGTAAACAGTCTTGTCGTTTGATTCGTCCACTGTAATTGAAAAATGTTTGTTTTCGACAGAATCTGAATTATCCGTATCAATGTCGATTGTTGTATGCGTGTTTGGATCATATACATTAAAATGAACTTCTCGGGAGTCTTCCTTTGATTTTGAATCATGTTTTTTATTTTTCATATTAACGTCTTTGTTTTTATTTATAGTTTTATCGATCGTCTTAGATACTTGATCATAATTACGTAAATATGAGTCTATAGAGTCATCATCCTTTGAAGATGGGACCTTAATAATATCTTTATTTTTCACAATATCTTTATTGATTTTCTTGTTTCCATTAATGGACACATCTTTATAATCAGCATCACTACCAGTTCGTGTGTTACTGCCAATGTCTTTAAATATGGACTTGTTGTTCAAATCTTTAATAACTTTATCAACGCCAACATCCTTGTTAATCGTTTTGTTCATATTTTTTATGATTTTGTTTTCTAATACTTTATAATTGTCCGCTTTTTCTTCGTCACTATCGACGATCCTATCTTGGTAGGTGAAAGTAGAATCTTCTGGTTTCTCAAGTAATGAATAATCAAGAACTCCTGTTTCTTTAGCTTTTTTCTCAAAAGCTTTTTTACGATAGTCAATTTTTTTTGTTTCTGCTTTTTTGATATAGTTGTCCTTCTTTATTTCGTATTTGTTTTTCTGAGCGGTATAATCATCAGTACTTTTTCCTAGCAAACCGTGTACTGCTATTTTATTATTATTAAGTAAGTCGTCAGTCATGCTATCTTCATAATCTGTCACAACCTGGTCTGAGTTTTTGGAAGAATGTATTTTATTATAAGAATTCTTAGGATCACTTATATTATTGACATTGTTATTCTTATATTCTTTATCTTTTTTGTCCTTTTCTATTTTATCAGTCACTGTTTGGTAATCTACTTTTTTGTACTCGACTTTTTTATAGGCATAATCTCCTTTATTCCTGTATTGATTTTTATTTTCCGTAAAACTTGAATCTTTGTTCTTATAAGTAAAAGCTGGCCTTTCACCTAAAAGTCCGTGTACTTTGTCAACAGTGCTATTAATTTTGTCCGAAACAGTATCCAAATTGGTTTGTACATCTTTGTTAACATCCAAACCTGCAACTTGAGATAAAGGTTCAGGTTGTTTATCAGTGCCGATATTACCATAGTCTTTTTTTCTAAAGTCGGTCCTCTTATTAGCATAGTCTTCTTTTGTTCTGTATTGACTATTTTGGGCGGTATAATCGTTATTGTTAGGTTTTTTGTAAGTGAAGTCGGGTCTTTCACCTACTAATCCATGTACTAACAATGAATCATCATAATTGTACATATCCATGTCTATTTCTTGGGGAACTTCATCGTAATTGTCTTTGTTTACGTTGAATTCTGTTTGTGAATAGTCATAAGGTCGGCTTGGGCTAGGCCTTCCTCCATAGCCTCCATTTGGTTTGGATTCACTCTTATGTGTGATAACTATGTCCTTTACAAACGCATTTGGTAGGCCAAATAATTGTTTAGTTCCTATTGCCAAATCCAAAGGATAACCAGGTGACAATATTGCTGTATTTAGTTCCACGTTAGCCATAGACGATGATGCGCCAATCGTACTTTTAGAGAAGGGAGCTACAAATACAAACATTTGTAACGGAAGTCCCGTAGGTAAGCCTTTAGGTAGAATCAGCCTTGAGGGGTATCCAATTTGCGATTCAACCGTCTTTAACGGCAAAGCATCCAACCCAAATTCAGCGTCTTCTATTTTCTTTTTGAGATCTCTCAAAGATATGAAATCATCAGAAAAGCTTGTCATTTGATCTGAAGACCTCGTCACTCCATTAGCACCTCTCTTGAGATTCAGTTCAAACATGTCTAATAAGACAAACAAGTGTTTTTTCGATGCTAATTCACCTGGCATCATTTTTGGTCCTAGGTATATTTTGACAAAAGCTTTCTTAGTTACTAATGATGATATATTAAGCTTGATACTGAATGGTTTGTGGTTAAGTCGTGGTTGCGCTACTTTTACTTGGAAAGTGGTGTTGGTAGTTGTTGTCTTCAAGGAATTAGTGACATCAAATTCGAAGCTGTCAAAGCTAGTCATCATCTTCTTTATGTCTACACTGAGTACCTCGACTCCTGGGAAATACAGCTCGTTCCTTGTGTACGTTGGAAGAACTTTAAGGGCGTTGTCAATTAATTGCACTATTTTCTTATTTATTTGCCAAAAAACTGGGTCTCTCAACTTAGTCATGTAGTGTTCTAAGACAGAGCATTGCCTGAAACATAAATAATCCAGTATGAGTTTGTGCTGCCGGATGAATGTGCGTTAGGCACAATTAAATTAAAAATAACTGGTACTATACCTTTCATTCACGTTTGAGTCGTATCCAAGTAATTTCCGAGCGACTGTTTCATAGTTTCTTTCCGACGTCACAAGTAATTCAATGAGTTGATTTAATATCTGGGATTTATTGTGGCCAGCTTGTCTCTGAAAAAATTAACACACGTTTTTATTAACATATAGCTAAGATGTATGACACTAGATTAGGTATTTTGAGTGGTAAGTAATATGCAGTATGGTTATTTATTACATCTGAACATAGACTTAATAACTTACCAAGTGTGTCACAACAGATGCTAGATTGTTCTCAATGGTTTTCAAAAATGTTATATCTTCATTTTCATTTAGTACTCCAGCAAATGATCTATGAACAAACTCATTTCCATTTGAGTAAATCAGCATAGGGTCATAAGAACCAATTGGAGAATCCCAAGTGAACCCTTCTAATTCTGGCAACTCAAGCGAGTATCTTTCTAAATCGTATCTAGCTGAAAACTGTTTCATCATTTGGAACATTTTTTCACCATAAAAATCATTAGTGTTAGATGGTGTGTCAAACCAAGGAGAATTTCTCAGTTTCCTTAAAAAGTAGAAGGTGTTTAACCCGACATCTTCTCTAAAATACGCAAGTTTTGCTTCATCGTCACTGTCGTCAAGTTCTGATGTGTATTTAGCATCGAGGATGTAAGAGTTTCCTTCAATCCTAACGTCCTCTGAAGGAGTCTGATCATCACCGGTTAGTAGAAATGACGCCTTTATTACGACGTCTCGGTTGATGAAGTAGTTAGGCAAAAGCTCGTAAGGTGGCGGTACAGATATCTTTTCAGTATCTCTTCTATTTAGAATAGCTAAATATAAAGCATCAATAAACAGTCCACAGTTGATGTTTTGCCGAGCCCACGCCGCCGCTCTGTAGAAAGCGTCAAAGTCTCTGGCATAATAGAAAAGTTCGAATAAACCCTTCAATTCATCAACATGGTCTTTGTTGTATTCAGTAAATATTTCGCCTTTTGGCAAGAATCCTTTACTCGTTTTAAGGTTGCGAAGATATTCCACGACCCCCGCTTTCTGTAAAAAGAAATAAAAAGTCAGACACCGTTAAACAAATTAATAATAATATCTGCCTGATAACTATCGGAAATAAGATATATTCAAAGTTCTGATATAACTGAATAAGACATTCCTGCCCACTGCGTGTATAGCCTAATCAAAAAGCAGGTAAGTATTCAGCTCACACAATTATGTAGTTAACATTAGTGTTAATAATAATTAGGTACCTACTGCATAATTACTTTCACACTCACCGTATAATTTCCATTGGCTGCGTCCAGAGAGAAATCCTTGGCCAGTTGCACGACCATCGCGTTAGTGCTATCCTCACAAACGTTTTCTACGAGTGGGAGCATCAGCTTCTGAATGTGGACCCATCCTATTGGTGCTGTAAGTAATAAGAAAAATAAGAAAATGCAATTATTTTAACATGGAAAGCTCAAACTCACTTGACTACAATCTCAGATCTATTTATCTATAGGTACCTACATAAAAAGTGCAGGTTTCATCTCTATGTTTGATGGGTCTTGAGTTCGATTTCCAAATAGGGTCATCAAGTTAATATTATTATTTAAAAAAGCAGAAAAGAGTTCCTATTCTAAGAACATTAGATGGTTTGGCTGGAACCAACTCCATTTTCTGATAAATAATCCGGAACTTGAAGCGTGACGCTCCTATATTGTCACTACGTACAGCTAATAAAGTCCTGTCTTTTCCACCACTGCAACTCCTGTATAGCCAAGATCATAGCTGGGCACCGTTAATCAAATAGTTAACTTCGTTAATCGTTAAACCGTTAATAAAAAAATTAACTTCGTTAAACGTTAAAACGTTACATTTAGCAAGATTTAACGCAAGTTAACGTTAATCGTTAATCCGTTAACACATGATAATAAAACAAAAAAGTAATTGTGCAAGGTTCAAATAATTTCGAAAGCTTGTATCGCGCACTGAATTTATTCCTCTTTTATGTTTGCGCTAGGAGTATGAAGAATAATTGTACCAAGTTTTGTTAAAATCCGTCTAGTAGTTTTTGTTTCTATAAGGAACATACAGACAGACAGACAGACAAACATTTTACTGATTGCATTTTTGGCATCAGTATCGATCACTAATCACCCCCTGATAGTTATTTTTAAAATATATTTCATGTATAGAATTGACCTCTCTACAGATTTATTATAGGTAAGTACAGATATTTGGGCAATGATAAGAAGTTGTTTCGACATCAGCCACACAGTTTTGACAGTTCCAACTCCTTTCCAGACAGTTTTATTAGGATAGCTGCCAAAGCAACGATAACCCAAACTTCACAATCCACCAACATTCTAACCTATATTGGGAGCATACGCTGACAAACTTTCAGTTTTTAAAAAATGACGTAGGTCTGGCGTTCACCAGCTCTTAGTCTATAGTATCTCAATATCAGAGCCTTGGTTTAATTACAATACAGTTTAGCACCAAAGTGCTCGAAAAGACAAATCCAAAGTCGATAGGTTTCCACCGTTTCGTTTAGGAATTCCTATGGCCACCCCTGACTTCATTATCAGTACTCTGGATAGGGCTGCCAGGTCCAAAGACACAAAAGCCGCACTTTGTGCTTCATTTGGCCGGACATTTCACCCTAAAAGCTGGACATGTGAGGGGGGATGGGGGTGCAAAGCTCACGAGTGAGTACTATCATCATCGGTTGCCCAACCATCCTGATTCGTGCGCTCCATATTATTCTATGGCTCGACTTTCGCCTGGCGCGGCAGCCAAATAAAAGGCCTAACAAAAGCCGGACAGGCCGGACAAGGCAATATTTGACCGGACAAGACCGTAAAAAGCCAAACATGGCTAAAGCCGGACACCTGGCAACCCTACCTGGACTTCATCTAGTACTAAAGTGCTCGAAAAGACAAATCCAACGAACCCAAATACGATGCGATGCCGCCGTTTCATTTAGGAGTTCCTATGGCCACCTTCTGACTCCATCATCAGACCAGCTTAATGGTAGGCTATAACATTGCATTTTCATCGTAACATAAGTAACTATACCAAATTTTAGCTCAATCGGTTGAGAACTGGTCTTAAATTCAGTTGCAAGATTTGTCCCACACATACTAAAAAGTGAAATATAAAGCTTGTAAATAAATAAAAAATAACATTTTTATATCGTTTCGTTCTGGTTACAAAAACCACGGTAATACTATCTATTTATTACCGTGCAAAAACTGTTGTTTTGGGTTCTGGAAGTACTTGTCAGAACGCGTTTTTCTAGCGTTTTTCAGCGTGGCTGCTGTATCTTTTTGGTAAATAGTAGGTACTGGATTAACGATTAACGGACTTAGGATAATTTAACGGAAGTTAACGAGTCCGTTAACATTTTTTAAAGTTAACTTAAAAGTTAATCCGTTAATAGAAATGTTAACTTCGTTAATTAACGATTAACGGATTAACGAGTTAATGCCCAGCTATGGCCAAGATCTACTGTTGGTATCCATGAAACCCAACCAGTGAAGGTTGACTAGTCCCGGGGATAGCTTACTGTCTTGGAATCCACAATGAATTTAATTAGAAGACTACAGACTAACCTACTCGTATGTTGTAGATGTTCCTTTAAAACATTGACTGATAAAAATTACATAATTACTTACCGATCTTCGCCTGTCTTGGTAACGTAGGGACCCTGATGAGGTAGCCTGAACTAAACCCCACTGTAATACACAATAAAAATAATGTTAACGCCTTCATTTTGTCCCTAACACTGTTGAATTTTCCCAAAGACCCGTATTTATAAGGACTGTTCTATAAGTTCATAGACACTGTCTCGACAAAATTAAGATAATAGTTGAATGCACCTATTATGCAGAGTTACAGAGATGACATAAAGTCATTGGGTTATTAAACTATTACGAGCAAATAAGTGAATCATTAAGATTAGTTTAACCTTTGGGTGAAAATAAAGTTAAATAAGTAATTCCGTTTCGTTATAATCGCTCTATAAAATAGGTAAAGTATGTACCTACAGTCATAATAATATAGTTTTTAGTGGAAGTCAATCAGTATACTGAATAATACTGTGTGCCTACCATGAGTTTACGTTAGGTGTGCTCGCTAGCGACTGCGTAAAAAAATGACATTTAAATGTATGACATATTGTGCAGCGCCCCTAGCGGCTACTTTCAAGAAATAAAATCTTCATATAATTTTTTGACGTATTCGCTAGCGAGCTCACCTAACGTAAACTCATGGTAGGCACACTGATATCTAATTGACTTTCACTGAAAACTTTTGGATACTTAGATCAAATGATCATTTTTTGTTGATGCTTGCATTTCAAACACTTGTTTTTCAAGCATACAGGTTTTTCCCGTGTTCGATTCCCGGTGTGGGCAAGATGTTTTTCTCGGTTTAGTTGGTGGTTTGGCTTATTCTATGTTCGCCTGACTACGTAGCTACCACCATCTTACACCCTGTCTGTCGCCGTTACAATAAAAATAAAGGTTTTTAAAATAAAAAATACAGATTTTTGTGTCTCAGCAGTTAGAGATAAGATAGCCACATTATCTGTGGTATTCTGGAGCATTTGCATTCCGTTGTAGGTAAAAACTGGTCCAATTGGGAATCGATTGGGACCTCTCGAGTAGAATCATAAAGTTATTAGTACCTATCATAAAGGAAGGAGCTGGATACAAACCGCTACCAAACGGCCATTATGGAAATCATTGGGGGAGGCCTATGTTCAGCAGTGGATGTCCTATGGCTGAAATGATGATGATGAGCAGATTAGTTAGATATTGAAATGATTAGGTTCAGAATTTTTTATGAAAATCTGCTATTGATAGGTACGTAACGTAACTCATTTTGCTACTGAGGAGGTTGACCTAAATGGAAAATTTGTGTCACCATGTTAGTAGGTACTTTCAAATTACAAAATATGCACGTTCTCACCGACCTTTTCACCTCTTGTAACTATCTTTCAAGTTGAAAGTCAAGCAAATAATGATTATTTCGCACGTAAATAAACATCGCCCGTTTTTTGATAAGTCCTATCTCGTTTGAACCCCAAGTCTGGTAATAATCAAAGTGACCTTTAGCAATAATAATAACAATATTTTTAAACGTGAGGCGATCGGGTCTTATCAGCGTTTAGCCGTTTACCTACCGGTTTAATGTTAAGCTGTTGCTAAGCTTTGCCCGTGACTTTGTTTGCGTGGATTTCGGTTTATAAAAAAAGCTTACTTGCTTGGAAATCTTTTTGTTCCTCGTAAGGGTCAATAATCTTTTTTAACATTATGAGATTTCTTGATCTTCTGTACAATTTAATACAATAGGGAATCTTAGGGTCTTTAGGATATCTCAAATACAATGAATCTATACTTCTATACTAATCTACTTATAATATTATAAATGCGAAAGTAACTCTGTTTGTCTGTCTGTCTTGCTTTTACGCCTAAACCACTGAACCGATTTTGATGAAATTTATCCCGGTTTTTGAAACAGGGACGCGCGCGATAAGGATTTTCTGTGACAGACAAAATTCAACACGGGCGTAGTAGTAGTAGTAACTAATAAATAATATTCTATTAACTTTAATAAGCTTTATCATGTCCTCGAGCATAACTATTAGAAAATATTATTTTCAAGATTTTTATTATTAACACTACTTGCATTATGTTTCATGTGGGAATCAAATGCAAAACCTTAGAGAGTCGTACAATCAACACCATCATAAAAAAATATATTAATAGGTAGGTATAAAAAAACCCTAGTGGCCACACCCATTAGGAGCATAGCTTTTATAAGATACCTACTAGTTGTGGTTTCAGTTTTATGTTTATTATTGTCAGTTTTATCGAATTCAACTGTGTTGATAAACCATGGAACATTCTTGACAAATCTCTTTATCTCTTCGATACGACTTTTTTCGTTTTACGTGGTAGTTATTATTTATTTATTTATCATTTTAACTTGTTATAGGGTATCAAGAAAATTAGGCTCTAAATAGTTAGTCGTTGTTGTGTGCCTGACGTGCTTCTAAGGCTGGGTTGTACCATCTTTTTTTTTTTAATGGCAACCAAACCTCTCTGGGAGGTTTATTTCTGCCAATGTCGAGTGAAAAATAATTGACAAAGTTATCAATAGAACGTGGGTGTTTCAGTTCTATTGATTTTTCATGGATTCCGTGGTGTTAAGTATGCCCGTAAGCAGGTTTCGAGACGCCACCGGGTCCAAAGCGGGTTGTTCATACGACAACCCACTCGACACTCGATGCGCGCTCAAATTCGAAGTATTTCAAGGTTTTTTATAATTTATCACTTCACTGCACTTTAGAACACAAAATAACACCAAATTTGTACACTAAAGTCCATTAAATAATAAATTGAAACCATTAAAACAGATCGACCATGCTTCCCGTTCAACTACCCTCCACGGAATCTCTTGCACCATCTTATTTTAACTTTGACAAATGTCAAAAATCTGTCATACCTACTCCATACAAAAAACGCCGGTTATCGTTATAGTTACGGTCAAACTTAGATGGTGCCAATCAGCCTAAGTATAGTCATTTTATTAGATGTCGAATGCCCGTTTTCACCATCAATCCCTAAGGACAATGACCAAAAGTGGTCCAAATGTCCACCACTAATGAGACCTATATTGGCTTATAGTCCATTAAATAGAGATTAATTTTTAGTATAGGACGAAAAAAAAATAAGCTGTCAGTAAAAAGTTATGACTGTTTGAAAAATTGTAGTAGTTTACGCGCTAATCTCTGGAACTACTGGTCCGATTTGAAAAAATATTTTTGTTATAGATAGCCCATTTATCAAGGATGGTTTTAGGATAAATAACATCACCCTACAACCAATAGGGGCGGAGCAGTAAAGACAAATGATGTAAAAATGGGAAATATTATTCAAACTATTTTCACGCGTACAAAGTCGTAGGCACAGCTAGTATAATATTTAATAAAATTTGTCTATAGCCCCGCGCCACATGCGACATGACATAACATGCGTAGATTAGTCCAAAATGTGCAATGGATAGAATGATATCAAGAACATTTTTCGGATGAAAAGGTAAAAAACAGACTTTTCTTTCAGTCATAACTTTTTACTGACAGCATATTTTTGATTGCTGTTTAGTTATAATGAATCAGTATTTAGTAGACTATTTTACTACATAGGTCTCGTTAGTGGTGGACATTTGGACCACACTCCATACATTTTTGGTCATTGTCCTTTTTAAGGGATCCCTTTTGTGGTGATCCGGCTCGAAGGACCAGGAAAATGTGGTGTCACAAAATTCCCAAAATTGGCGAAGTTATTGACAAAAAACCTAAAACGGCTCTCTTTACGGTATTGCCTCGCGCAACGGACCATCCGTGCAAGACAAGGACAAAACATATTGCTATCTCACGCTCTAGAATGTTCGAAGCGAGAGGTCCGATATTTCCGTCTCGTTTCTTCTCTATTTTTTCCTGAACATTCCAGATTTTCCAGAAAAGTGTGAAAGAGAAGCTATTTTGTGGAAGTGAGAGATCAGACAATGCAAGAAAGAGGCCTACCGAGTGAGTAAGCGAGAGAGCCTGATGGTTTTCGCTACGGTATTGCCTTTTTGGCGAAAATTTCATGTTCATTTTCTTAACTACGAAACAGATTAATTACTTAATTTCAACTAATTGACATGATGTTGCTAACATTAATTCTGACTATTCTTGACGTCGCTAACACCTTTGAAAACAAAATCCCTGTTATGTGTTACCATAGCATAGGGGTTACTTAAAAATTAGGGATCGATGGTGAAAACGGGCATATCTAAGGATATTAGAAAATTAGAATTTAAATGCATTTACGCTCAAACTTATCAACTAACTTATACCTACCTACTCGAAGATAACAATCCATAATATTTTGTATTAGGTAGGTAGGCACTAGGCATCAACATCAATCACCGCTTTCCCTTTTTATCGTAAACAACTGCCCTCTCGTTGTTTGGCTGGAAGAGATCGCCGCAATAAGACCTGCTAAAATGTGCCGTTTAGTAACTTGCGCTGGATGCAGGATGCTAGGTAGGTACCAACCGGCTAATCTAGAAATAATTGGGGGAAGCCCATCAGCAGTGAACGTCCTGTGGCTGAAGTGCCAATAATGATGATGATCAATTATTATTTTACTATTAGGTACCTAGGTATATTGTGTGTTTCATAATATAAATAAAAGAGTAATTATTTTTATTAGGAGATATTGAAAGCATTAAAGAGAAGCACCACAAGTAAGCAAATGAATGAAAGAAGATAGATAGTAGTTATTTTTTATTTTTTAAATGCTTATTAATTTTATTTTGTAAAGCTTGTAAAAGTTTTCATAAATGCTGTAACGCCATCTAGCGTCGGGAAGAGTTATTCACAGCGCCATCTTGTGTTGAAAAGTTTACTACGTGGTCATATTATAACGTCACTTTTAAAACGTTCGCTAGATGGCACTAACTAGAATTGTTGAAATTAAATCAGACAAAAATATAAGTTAGTCAAAATATTGTTTTTACAAAAGCATTAAGTTTAACAAACGTTTGTATTGGCCACAGGCTAGTAAGGTCCTATTTGCTTGTTGTAGCTAAAACAGTGGCGCCACTGGTGAGTGCAATAATAATTGAGGAAACTATCATAATAAAATTTCGCTACCTACCAAAATGTATGAACTAACCCCCGTGGGTATTCATTTAGAAGTACAACCCTCATTGTAGTTGATTTCCGAAGATAACTGCAATAGACTATGCAATCCTTTTTTTCATTTGGAATAGAGTTAGTATACTTAGTTAGGGTTTGATTCCTAAAGCCACTTCTTGATGCTTATCGGTTAGATTGAATTACAGTACAATCAGCGCCAAAACACCCAAAGCGGCCAATAAATTGGCAACAAGGCTTATTCCATTGCAACAAAGACGTGTTGTGAACTTTTTGGCTACTTTGGGTGTCACAAACTATTTGATGCTGACTGTAAGACTATGTTTGGTTCCTAGATTGTAAGTGTGTTGGTAAGACTATTACCTACTACTACAACTAGTATCAAACATACTGTAATAATATTTACGTTTATTTATTTGTAGGCACACCTGGAAATCGAACTCAGGGCAATGTTTGGAATCGAAGTCCAATTCTATGATTGGTAAATTAACAAAGTGTTGCTAGTGTGTGTGTGTTTCAGGTAATATTAGGTAGGTACCTATAGTAGTCTATCCAATATAGCTTGATTAGAATGACAGCTATCAAACGAATGTGACTAGTGCTGGGTATGTTTCGTACGGTTCACATAGATGTATCGATAAGTTTTCGAAAAAATGATATAAAAAATGCACCCAATTTTTCTTCATATCTTTATTCATAAAAATGACAATTATAATTTAAATTTAAAGACAGTAAAATTTAAAATTCATGTCAAGGGTGTACAACCTAAGTCGTAGTCATTATCATCAGTGTTCTTCAGTGGTTTTTTCCTCTCGCTAGAGGGCGGTGGGCATCTCTTCTAGAGCAACGGTGCTATTAACCTTTAACTGGTGACATGGTTTTTGTATAACGTAACTGGTGACGTACGGTCTGAGAGGCCGCTACCGTATCAAGACTGTAGCATAGAAACTAGGTAAGGTAGCATACCATAATCTTTAAAAACAGATTATTAGCATATAGAAGAATTAAATTAAAATGAAATAATAAACTCTAAATATCATTTTTAATGCAGAACTTGCTGTTAAATTATATGTAGTAATAAAAATCAAAAAACTAGAGATGAGATCGATAATCGCAAACAAATAAATTTAAATCAACAAATTATAACAAAATTTGTATTTTTTATTATAGTTTAAATAATAACCAATTTAAAAAAACCTATCACTCGTAGGTAACCTATCATTTTAGAAAACTGGCAGTGGTGAAACTTTTGTATTTTTTATTGGCTGTCAGGGCATTTATTGTTTGGCATAAAGGTGGTCCATCATTTTCACTTTCTGACTGATTCTCGTCAATTGGTCCTTTATCTTCAAAAACACTTTCTTCGGCTTCCGAATCATGGTCACTTTGCTCCAGAACGATGTTTTCAGGAACATATTCGGCTTCCGACCCAATTGCGTCTTCCTTTTTCAAATATTTTTCAGATATTTTTCAAATCGCGAATTTTCAAGTTGTTTCATAAAGTATGGCACTATATTCTCAACTAATGATCCTACGCTTCTTTTTTGGAGTTATTTAAGTATAAATTGCAAGTAAAAACTGTAAAAATACGAAAAAACTGTATGAAAAAAATGTCACGTAACTGGTGACATGCGGTCTGAGAGACCGCTGATGAACTTTACATCGATGTAACTTGTCGATTTGGAGCTGAATGATGCAAATATCCTTATCTACGGCGTAGACACAACTAAACTCGAAGCTACTGAAGCGGTGAAACATAGGAAGTACGGGGAAGGGGGTGAAACGATGTTTCACTGACGCCGCCCGGCCTGTGAGACCGCTTGTCACCAGTTAAAGGTTAAATACCCAAAAAAAATACCGATGATTGATTTCCAATGTTTGATTATTTAAGAATGAAATGTTTTTTGGTTTTTAATAGTGAACATTTAGAAAAACGTATAACTTGAATTGACTTAAATATGTTAAAAAATTAGTTAAAAAAAATTAGTAAATATGTTAAAAAATTAGTTTTAATTTAATATGACATTTATTTTGTCGATATGTCCCATCACTAACATTTTTGTAACTCGAGATAACCTTGTAGAGACGTCGTTAATACTCTAGCTTTATTTTTATAATTTCGAATTACTACTTATTGATGTAATTTAACGCTGCATTTACACGAAATTAACATTTTTATTGGAAGCACTGTCGTCGAAAATATTGATTGTAGGTCAGACGTGAATTATTTCTTGTCTGACAATATTTAGCTCTCATTGATCGCTACTACAAAGTTATGTCGTTACTTTTGATGGCAGCTGTCATTCTAATCAAGCTATATTGGATAGACTATAATAATATTAATCTAGCAGAAAGTGTCAAAGTTAATGATATCATTATTTTATGGGCCCTAAATTAACATTAAAAATACAGTCTGTTTATTAAATTATTTATTTTTATTTTTTTACATTTTTAAACTTGCTGTAAATCTAGCCTCAGTCATCATTCTTTGAACTATAATCTAGGAATATTATTACCATTTAGTAATTGTCGAACACGTTGACGTCATGGTCTACCATTGACTTCGTGTGGATGTCGGTGTCGACGAAGGAGGTGTCATCGGTGATCATGGTCCTGTCATACATGTCGTAGTTCTTCAACACGTATTTGTTCCAGCGAGTCTTCATGTCGCAGACCTGCTTCTTGTGGAAGATCATAATATCGACAAACTTCATGTTAGGAGTGAAGAACTTCACTACATCAATGCGACGGTCGAATGGGAAACCAAGAGGCCTCTTGTCCAAAAGAACAGTCGACCTGAAGTCCATCATGAAGTCTTTGCGGTTGGTGTCCAGAATGTTGAGGTCAACGTTGTCGACCAACTTCAGAGGAGTCACGATGACGTACAGCATCATCTTCATACCTCCAACCTTACCTCTGGGCAGAAGCAACCTGGTGGGGAAACCAGTGTGGAAGTTTCTGAGGTCCTTGACAAGGAGATCTCTGAAGTCAGTGATGGTGTCAACCTTCTTCCAGAGGTCGCGGGTCATAATGCGGTCGCGGACCAGGTTGTGCATGTCGAAGGAGTTCCTGACAATAGTGTTCTTGCCATTGACCAGTTTGTAGAGGAAGCTGTCGAGTTCGACGAAGTTCATGCGGTTCTTGTTGATGTCAATGAGACGGCCGTGGTGGTCCTCTTTCGGTCCCAGGAAGATCCTGATGACGCAGTCAGCGGCTTTGTCTGAGAGAACATCGACGGTCACCTTGAAGGGCTGGTGATTCAGACGGCGTTTGCGGACGAAGAATTTCATGTCGGAAGTGGTCTTCTTGAGTTCATCTTCAGTGAGCATAACGGCGTTGGTCATGTCCATCAGGTAGTCATCGAAGTAAGTGACGAGCTTGTCAACCACGACGTTGTCGATCTTCACGCCAGGGAAGTAGAGGTCGTCCTTGTTGTAGCAAGGCAGACGCAATTTGAAGAGGAAGACCAAGTCAATGAGACGTTTCTGGAGTTTGTAGAAGACTGGGTCACGGAGAGCGGTCTGGTAGCTGTCCAAGACAGAAGGAACGACGAAGTATCTGAAAAGAAAGTAGAATCAGTAAAGCTAATAATAAAGTATGACAATTATGCCATACAACAACAGTTTTCATGGTATTTGGTGGAATGTAGACCAAATCCTCAATATGCTTCTGGTAAATTAGAGAGGGTCTTCTTCCTGCAATGGATACTATATGACCTAATGGTGATGATTCGGTGAAATAGCGTGTATAGAAATAGAACTTACTTGTCAGATTTCAACGTGTTCAGTCCAAGAATCGATTTCATGATGATGAGCAGGTATCTGTAAGCATCAATGTGGTATTTGTCCACGTCCACCTTGTCAATCTTTCCGTAGATGAGTCTTCCAAGAGTCTCGATATCATCAGTCTTGGTCAGTTCCAGTCTTAAGCCATTGACCTGTAAGAATGAATAAGTATGTTAAGCTTCGGATAACCATTTTCTATACAAAACAAAGAAAAGAACATTTCAATATACGTACTTCAACGAATCCCTTGACAATAGCTTCCTTGATGATCATTTCGTATGCGTCTGCAAGACGGAGATTCTCAATAACGTCATCACGGATGACAACATAGTTGTTCTGCCTCTTAGGGAATTGAACACCGTTGTGCAACATCATCCAGGGCCAGTATCCGTTCTTGATCGGTTTGTTGTATGTAAGAGTTTTAATCTCACCAAGACCATTAGACAGACGCTCCAGGTAGTATCTGGCAAGAATTTGCTGGTACATGTACAGAGTAAGTTCGAAACGCCTGATCCTGATCTTGTCGAAGCATTCGTCTCTCATCCAGAACGGATAGTCGACGTGGAAGTAGTAGTAGTAGGTGTTAAGGTCAATGTCCTCGGTGAAGTAGCGAAGCTTGTCATCGTAATTGAGAGTTGTTCTTCTGTCGTATGTGTTCTCATCGATGATGTAGACATCCTTGTCAGTCTTCTTGATTCCGTAGAAGTCGCACAGCTTGTGGTCAAGGAGTCCTCGTCTCATCTTGAGTAAGTAAGCCTTCTGGATAACATCGGCGCGCAAGAAGTAGTATGGGTAGATTTCGTATGGGGGAGGAAGAATGATACCCTTGCAGTCTTCACGGTGTCTGACGGCTACAGTGAGAGCATAGACGAACATGCCTTCGTTAAGGTAAAGGCGCATCCAGCATGCGGTCTTGATGAAGGTGACGAAGTCTTTGGCGTAGTAGAGCATGTGGAACATGGAGACGACTTCCTTCAGCTGGCGGTCCATGTGGATGGTGAAGATCTCACCACGAGGAAGCATACCAAGCTTGTAGTAGTAGATAAACTTCTTCACTACTTCAGTCCTCTGTAAAGATAGTAAAATAATTAGCCTTTTGGTTTGATAAGAGGTATAATTTCTAATCTAGTTTCTTTTAAATGCTATACTCACGGTAAACAGCTGAATGTTCTCTTCAATGTTGAAGTTCTTGCCAATATCTTCGATTTCCTTGTACATGACGGGCTCCAGAACGTGGTTAAGTAATTTCAAGATGAACATTTGCCTCTCCTTGATGTCCATCGTGACTAGAAGTAACAAAACAGATAATACAGATCATATGGACTTATACTGTGGTGGTGTTTTAAAATAAATGTTTAATAGCAGGGTCCAGTAAGTTTAAGTTTAACTATCAGTGCCACCGATTTCGTGTGCGTGAAAATAGTTTGAATAATTTTCCCGTTTTCGCAAGATTTTTCATTGCTGTTCTGCTTCTATTGGTGGTAGCGTGATGGTAGAATAGTTTTCCTCTGTACATGGGCTATCCAACACAGACATATTTTCAAATTCCCGAGATTAGCGCGCGCAAACAAACTCTTCAGATACACATAAGTATAGATTTGCTTCATTTAACTTCAAATAATATTCGCCATAAGCCATTTGCACTTTCCTCAAAGTGAACTGTGTTTGTTATCAAATAACGCGTTTAAATAAGAAAAATAAAATTGTTTTGGATCCTTACCGATGTCTTTACCGAGCATGGTATCGTCGACTTGCCGGCCAGCGGCCAAAGCCGCAATGGCCAAAACCAATAGTACTACAGCCCTCATACTGCAGCCGACTCGTTGAAGCTCAACTGTGATGCATCCAGCTTCGCTCACACCTTTTATACTGTTTATTGTGGCAGGTTATGATCGGCTTGTTTACAGTTAGTCTTGGGTTATCGGCAAAACTGCAGTAGAAAGGTTGTAAAAATATAAAATGCAGATAAAAGGGTTGAATATCGTTATTTATTGAGGTCCATATTGTTTCTAATTAATAAAAGAGAATTTATTGTGACATTAGAACTCATTATATCCTTATTTTGCGCATTATGTTTTGATGCAGCATATTTATTTGTTTATTTGTAAATTTTTTTGTGTTACTTTGCAAAGGAAAAAGAAAGCAAGACAGCTTTACGATGCCTTTTTCACTTAGAAAAGAATACATTTATTTTAAATAGTTTGATGATGATGTTAAGGCTTTTATTACATTATTACCTTGTGATTAGGATTATTATCCTAATAAAATAAAGACAACACACACAACACAGGAGGGCATCATTTTGGCAGACTTTTGTCGAAAAAGGATAACACAACCTTTTACCATGTTGACGTAGAGATGTTGAAGTGACATTATAACATTTTTCTGAGGCCACGAGGGTTCGACATCCAGTCTGCTCATGGTGTGTGCTTCGGTGTCATCTATAAGCAAGGATGTAGCTACCTACTGTAGTACTACCATAAGGATTAAAATAAAAATTATTAATAACAGTACAAAGTACGACGTTCATGCAAATTATGATATCGCCCTGTTAACTTTTGACTAGAAATAAATTTGACGAGGTTTATGCAATAAAAAATAGTCTACAAGAACTACTTAAACCAACCTGATTGTTAGCAGAAGTATGCCATCATATTTCCACCTGAGCCAAGTAAGACTGAGTAAGACCCATTGCGCGGAAAGGTACTTTCCTTTCCTATCCTTTTTGCCACTATGGGAACTTAGTTATAAGCACCACACTCGGCAGAAGAAAAACAACGATAAATCGTAAAGCATAGCCCAAACATTTGTAAGTATCAAATTCTTTGTGTCAAATTAAATAATCCACATACACGTATGTTATGGCTCTCCACTCCATTGCACATAACAAATAATTATGTGCATGTGGATTGAGTGATCCTTGCTTCAATCTTAACAAAAATCGAGAAAGTTTTACTTAAAATATGTTAAAACATTGCGATGAAGTTTAAAAATTTGTTAAACCTAAGATAAAAATGTTATGGCCAATAAATAGGAGCACTCATACCGCACGCTTTAAGAAAACGTCAACATGTTTATTTCAGAAAATAAAGCCTTTCCACTTCTTTTTATAGTATTGAAAAATTGTTAAGAATATGTTAAAACTATTAACAAATTCAGAAATTCCTTGCACGTCCCGTTCCAAAGTTATGACGATTATTTAGGATCACTCACACCGCACACGGGCCGTATGAGTGCTCTTCAAAATAATGACTTTTTATTAATAAATACGTTTTATTTCTGTTGGGAAATGTGTGCAAACTGACGAGCGAATTTGTTAAAGAATAAGTGTGACAAAACTTAAAAGCTGAAGGAAGAAATTAACCTTTATTCTTTCCTCCAATATGCCGTGTGAGTGATCCTTACTTTTACCTCTATCTGCTCATATGTAGTTCGTAGGCAGACTGAGATAGTATCTAAAATTGTTAATTGTTTTTAACAATTATTTGGCATATATTTTGCTTTTATTAAGGTCATAATTTAAGAAATATCAGGCTTAGATGATTCCTAAAGGAAAATGTTGATTAGGGTACATATGATTTTTTATTTTGTGAGACTGTTCCGATTCGTCAGACGTGACAATGCAAAACCAATGCAATCTAATATGTAGTAGGTTTAGGGGCCTCCGCTAAAACTCGCGGGGGGCGTCCGTCGCCGCGGTCGGCAGTAGCGCGAGTTTTAGTGGTTTACCCCTACATCTTGAATGATAGAAATAAAGAAACATTACAATTGTTTATAGGATTGAATTCAAATTTGACTTGTAATATGAATTGAGAAAGATACTCACGGTTTTATTTAAATAAATTACAAATTTCTCAACAAAACTGTTTTTTTTTGGTTGGACTATAAAATACGATAAAATAATATTATTAAATCTCACATGTAAACTTCTGATGAATCGAAACAGTCTCTCAAAATAAAAAATCATACGTACCCTAATCAACATTTTCCTTTAGGAATCATCTAAGCCTGATATTTCTTAAATTATGACCTTAATAAAAGCAAAATATATGCCAAATAATTGTTAAAAACAATTAACAATTTTAGATACTATCTCAGTCTGCCTACGAACTACATATGAGCAGATAGAGGTAAAAGTAAGGATCACTCACACGGCATATTGGAGGAAAGAATAAAGGTTAATTTCTTCCTTCAGCTTTTAAGTTTTGTCACACTTATTCTTTAACAAATTCGCTCGTCAGTTTGCACACATTTCCCAACAGAAATAAAACGTATTTATTAATAAAAAGTCATTATTTTGAAGAGCACTCATACGGCCCGTGTGCGGTGTGAGTGATCCTAAATAATCGTCATAACTTTGGAACGGGACGTGCAAGGAATTTCTGAATTTGTTAATAGTTTTAACATATTCTTAACAATTTTTCAATACTATAAAAAGAAGTGGAAAGGCTTTATTTTCTGAAATAAACATGTTGACGTTTTCTTAAAGCGTGCGGTATGAGTGCTCCTATTTATTGGCCATAACATTTTTATCTTAGGTTTAACAAATTTTTAAACTTCATCGCAATGTTTTAACATATTTTAAGTAAAACTTCCTCGATTTTTGTTAAGATTGAAGCAAGGATCACTCAATCCACATGCACATCAAATAATTGAGACTAATTGACTTTTAATTTAGTGTCCAACCTGGGGATTAAACTCAGAACCCTGATGAGGACAATCTAATCATTTTTTTCATTATAAATTATTTACTTACTAGCTTTCCGCCGGCGGCTTCGCCCGCGAGGAATTTTGTCTGTCACAGAAAAACTTTATCGCGCGCGTCCCTGTTTCAAAAACCGGAATAAAACTATCCTATGTCCTTTCCCGGGACTCAAACTATGTCTATGCCAAATTTCATCAAAATCGGTTCAGTGGTTTAGGCGTGAAAGAGATACACAAGTTATTTTTGTAGGTATACCTATTTTTCTATAAGTACCTTTTGTTTAAGAGTTGGACATGAACTTTAATTTTTTATCATTTTTGTTTGTTTATACCTACATACTCGTAATATTATTTACGAATACATGTAACGTCGAAGTGTCTGTCCATCCAAAAACTTACAAGCCACAAGGCAGTGAATAAATGATCATTTCTATCAGGACAAAAGCTGTCAAAGGTGAGATATCTCGAATCCACGACTGGCGTTGTGGTCTGGAAATCGCTAGGCCATGCAAATAGGGTTATATTGTATCTGCCAAAGAAAATTAAACCTTAGATACGTACCACAACAGGGCATAAGCTTGTTTGTTTGTGGTGGTGGACAGGTGACCCATACTACTTATATCCCACCACGCAGGTCTAGTATAGTTTGGTTGAAGATCTAAAGTGTAAGAGTTAGGTAAAGGCACCTTTATTATGAGATGTGAGATGACTAACACATGTCCTGGGCATGATCAAGGTAAGAATAAAAGGTTCTTAGTGCAGTAAGATTCCATGGACACTCTGGATATCCAATAAAACAGACTACAGACTTTTTTTAATGGAACTATGCCCACATCACGTTCCCACCACTGCAACTACTGTGTAGCCAGGATCTACAGCTTGACCGCCAATAAAAACCCAACCAGTGAAGATCAATTTTGTCCCGGGGGAAAGTTAAACAGTCATTGGACCCGCAACGAAATTAATCAAAAACTAACAAAAAAGACCTGTAAAAAATTAAGCTGATTGAATACCTACTTGATTTTAAAAGGGGGCTAAGATTATTTAATCTAAGTTTGCAGGCAAAGTCAGGCAAAAACTTGTATAAAACATAGTGTCCTCAACCACACTAGAACACGAGTTTACTGACCCCGTCAACAATGTATTAAATTATCAATTTAATGTTATTAAAAAGTTCTCTTATCGAAGCAATTACTCGTGCAGTTACTAACTGTAAATATGAGTTTGTCTATAAAAATATGATAAAGGCAATAATATTGGTTGCAATTATGTATTGTTTTAATAGGAAGTCTGGAACAATACCGGAATATTTTGCAAAATATGTCGTTTTTCTTCTCTCCTATAAAGTTACGAAAATGCAGTTTCGCGGTGTTGAAGTATAAGGGACAATTGTCAAATGTTTCGGTCAACAAACTTTTATATCCAGTTTTATTTTTAGATCTTTATCATAATCATCAGATCATTTCCTCAATGTAGGAGCAGGAGTCTCTCTAATTTGACAAAGGATTACGAAGATTTGGCATTAACTCCCCATGATGGGCAAACGGATTGGGGAAGCCGGCTGATCGCATAATCGTCACTGATAATGGTGTGATTATCAGTGACGCTGAGGCCGCGTACTGGAAAACGCAACGTGGAAGACGTCCACCCACAAGGTGGACCGACGACATCATAAAAGTAACAGGAAGGCACTGGACGCAGGCCGCTACCAACTAGGCATCATGGAAAGCATTGGGGGAGGCCTTTGTTCAGCAGTGGACGTCCTATGGCTGAGAGGATGATGATGATGATGATGATGATGATGAATGGTATTCGGAATTGATGGTGAAAACGGGCATTAGTCGCCTTTTACGACATTATAATCCACAATTCTTCATAAGCTCTATCATTTAATTGCACGAATATTCCAAAATGATTTTTTAGCTTCCACCAATCCCACACTTTTTGCACGCACAAACAACAAAGGTACTAATGTTTATTTTCTTAGGAATTGTAGGTATTACTACTGATCTTCCCCGAACACTATAAAGTACCTATCCTAAAGGCATGAGTGAGACATTAATAGTGCCTTTTAGCAAAACATACACCTATTACCGTTTTATTTTTCGAGGAAACTCCCAAAGGAAAATATGCGGGCCAGTTTT